AACATGAACAACATTGGCATATAAATCTAAAGTATTTCTCAGCTTCATGTTGAGCGTTTGTAGCTCACCGGTGTGAGAGTAGTCAGGTGTCGCCAATACACCCTAAACAAAAATTAAATTATGAAAGTAAATAATTCACAAAAATTATATTTAGAGATTAATCAAACTTAAATCCCAAGTTGAAATTAAAGCAAAATAAAAAAACAGCAAATTGAATAATATGAAATATATTCAATATTATAAATATTCAAATATTATTCATCTCAATAATACCTTTAGACATATTTTATTTTTTGCTATTGATGCAGCAACTTCTTCAAGTGGGACACTTAATACTGGATTGACTTCGGAAAAAAAGTGAACATCAAAATCAACAGGAACATTTGCAGCCTAAAATAATAAATAAATTACTTTATAATTTTATATTGCTTAGTTTATCTATTTCTGAAAGTCACCGAGTACATACTTTGAAAACTTCTTGAACTGAATAAATCAACTCAGGTCCTACACCATCTCCAGGAATTAATGTACATCTTATTCTAGATTTACTATCTAAAGGCTTCAAGACTTCTTCGAGCTATTGCAAAATTTAAATGGTTCGAATATAATGTAAGCAACATGAAATATTTAAATATAATCTCAAAACATACCCTTGCTGGAGTTGTGTAAAGGCATCTTGAATTTAGCTAAAAAAAAATTGTGCAAGATTTTGAATGAGAATATTTATTTTTTGAGGTTTATGTTAAAGAAAACTCTAAATATACTTACTTGGGAGCATAACCTGCTCACACTCCGCATCAACATTATAATATTGGTTTAAAATAGTGTTTTTGTTATATAACTAAAAATATTGCTAAATTTTAATTCGTCTAAAGTCAAAGTGGCAAAAATTTTCGCTTGACTTTAAATTAGACTTGAAGTTAACAAATGTGCAGTCAGGCTGATCTACGTGAAGTAGTTGTCTATGTTACAGCTAAAGGTGCAGTCACACTTCATGTTGCAAATTGAATGGCGCGAAAATCATCTGCATTTAAAGTTCAACAGAAGTAATTTGTAGGAAATGATTTTTGAAAACATTTATTTATTTAGCTACGTGAACCGAAATCTCCATATCATTTTTTAAAATACATAATTATTTAATAAATTCTTTTATAAACTAATTTGAAACGTATTATAACTAGATGTTAGTGGCATTCGCTGGAACTTGAATATGTAAAATAAATAAATATTAAATAAAATGTTATAAAAGTTTGTATTATCTGATACATATAATTATAATTATTTAAACATTCTAATATTTTTAACAAAATCCTGAAATTTTAATCAAAAATGCAAAATATCTTATAACTTTTAAATTGTAGTTTTTAAAATTATATTATACACAAACTAAATTTCAACACAAATATACCAAAAATAATTAAATATCTATATTTTTCATAATGATTTACAATTCTGTTTGTCTTTAATAAATACATCTATTTTGTCTATACACCGATTCATTTTAAAATGAATTGCCTTTTATCAAAATATTTAAATATATCAAATTAAATATGTTACATAATAAATAAAAATGCATTAACAAAAATATTACTATTTTAAAATATATATAAAAGCAGCATTATTATAAAATTGTCTGTCTTCGCGGTTACAACACAGACTTGTATGTGTTCAATAAATTCTCACAATTGCTTTATCTTGAAGGTTCACTATCTGAAATAAAATGAAATAAAACTAAGTTATATTGCATTTATCATATTTATTAACAGCTCAACATCCATATGAAAAAATGAATTAAATCTTGTGTATAGAATTCTTTGAGTATAATAAATACTCCTGTGAAAATGATTTTATATAACATTGCCAGTTAACTAATTAAACTTACCACTATAATTAATTCAGGTTTAAAAAAAGTATTGAAAGTTGAAGAACTAAATGATTCTATTTTAAATTAAATATTAAAATAAAAGGCTTTAAGTAATGTAATGGTCAAATATATACAAAAGATCAATAAATATAGTTAACAATTTCTATCAATTCAACATCACATTAATATACAAGTCCTTATATAAAATCTTCATCAAAACATTTTTATCATTGGACCGAAGGCTGCAATATTGTTAGCTGTTACAGTTACAATTTCAGGTGTAAAGATCAGGTTTTAGTTATTTGTCCTGGTCTTACCAAATTTTACAGATTACTGCAAATACATGAGGCCTTGTGCCTGCGCATGAGCCATCAGTGCCTGCGCAGCTTGCTGTGTTTCTAACATCAGTCGAGTTTCATAGAGCCATTCACTGGATACAGTTCGGGCAGCACCCTTCAGTAAGTTCATGTAACGCAGGTTTGAGTGAAATCGTACGGTCATCAGATTGCCTATAGGTGAAAAATATTAGTCAGCCAATACCTAGGGTAAAAAAAATATTTTATATAAATTATAAGAAAAGTTCTTTAAATAAAATAATTGTTAAATGGTGAGATCCTAAAAATCCTAATTTGAGAGTATTAGTTAGATACTTAGAAGCAAATTATTCATGTGTTGTAAACTAACCTGGCTCTAGCAAGAATTTCATACGTGTCCATTTGACTAAAATCAGTACGTTGATCTAATAATTCACTGGCAGGCATAGGGTTGTGTGTAGACATGAGAACTGCACTTTGCAAATATGAAAGCAAATAGACAGGGAGACGTGCACCTCCTTCTGGCACTAAGGCAAGTCTGCGAGCTACGCGTTCAACCTATTACAGAAAAATAGGTGAGGGTTATAAATTATATATGTATTGTTTAGTGTGAGTGATGTATATATGATGATGTCAACCTTCAAAAATCTCTCACGCAAAGCATCCTCAGAATATACTCCACGGCGTTTTGCTTCTTTAGGAATTCCATTTACAACTGATTCTATTAGTTCATCTGATCCAGCTGCAAAAAAATACAGAAATTCATAAATAAAATTATTATAGGATATATTCTTTCTTAATTATGAATAAAATTAAATGTTCATTAGAGAAATATTCTATTTTTAGTTTTACAAAAATTCATAATTTTGTATTCAATAATTTCCAAAAGCAAGAAAAATGACTAGATATATATTTTTTTTGATCAGGGTTTAATCTTACCAGTAACCTGCTCGATCGCATTGATCTCTGGGGTTAATGGCCTAAGTTGCTTATCCCATGGCACACACGGAGTGTTCGCTTTTATGGCTGCTAAAAGTGCTTGACAAGCACCCCATAAGGCTTGTGCCTGCTGTGCACTTGAATCTGCTTTTGCTCGAGCTGTAAAATACAATATTCATAAAATATGTAAATATAATTGATATAATTCTTTATGGCACTTCAAAAAATTGTAAGCCGAGTAATTTACCTTTAAGTGCACTATCAACACCACGTAGCCGTCCAACCATAGCAGCAAGCTGAAGTTTGTATTCTTCTTTCTCTGCTGCTAGCCTTTCATCTAATAACCTTTGAGCTTTGCGTTCCATTTCTTTTTCTTTAAGTAATACTGCATCTCGAATGTGATCAGCATGTGCCTCTGCCTGCAGTTTCATTTGGCGCCTCAAATCGCGTTCGCCGTCCGCACGCAGACAAAGCGCCTGAAATTATATTATACCAGATATAATAATTATAATAACAAATAATTTATAGTAATATTGTCTGGTAAATAAAAATCTTAATTTTAATGTTCACCTTCTTCTGGTATTCCAAATCCTTGCACCGTCGTTCTTCTTCTAATTTCTTTTCAATTACTACCTCTTTGAGTTCTTCTGGATTACATGCTAGAAGGTTATGAGTATAAAAATAAATAATGCACATATGTATTAGTTTGATTTGAAAAAGAGGTGTACAAACAACTTACTCCTAGCTAATGCTAAGGCCTGGTTCATACGGCTATCCATGATGGTTTGCATTTTTGCTAATTCCTTCTGATAGAAAATCACATGAGACATCACATGCAGTAAAAATAGATCTAAGTCTGTTGAACCCTCTAAAAATACAATTTACCAATATAATACATATAAAATCAATTTAAATTAAAATAAAAATAAAAATTATACTTTATGAATTTGCATACCCAACTTAAATCTGCGCTCACAGATGTTTGTACCAGGAAACAGTGTTTCAATTTCTTCTAAGAAGTAACTTCTGGCTTGTTCAATCTATGCAAAAAAAAAATAAAGACAAACTTTTAGTATAAACTTTATTATTATAGTAATGATATTAAAAATTAAATTCGTTATTTTTAAGAGAGAGCAAAAAATCTAATTAAAAAATAAAGTAGCAAAAATTTAAAAAATAAATCAAAAATATAATCAGTGCAAAATATGTTTATTTAAATCTTTAATGTAATATACAATTTTTTTTATAAGAATTATAAAAAGGAAACTATATACAGAACATATTCATAATTTCGAATTCGGCGTTGAATATATTACGAAGTCCTTTTCAATTACCTGCGGTTTTAATTACATGTGGTTTTATTAAAATTATGAAGACTATATTTTCTAGAATCTTACTTGTACATAATATTATAAATGTATAAATAATCACTTTGTATGCAAACAGAAAGAATCCCTTGAAAATTATTGCAAGGACAAAAATCTTGTGCATCAAAGTCTTTAAGAAAACTAATTGTAAGCAGAATTTATAGCAATTGATCATTAAGGATTCGTCTTCAGGTAAGTTAGTTAAGTTCTAAAGAAGCAAATGAAATACATAGGTTCTGATATTGTAGCTGACATACCTTTTTCCAATATCTCTCTGTAAGATCGCATTTTTCTTTTTCTTCAAGGTATGCTTGTTTAGCTTGCTTTATATCGAATAATACCCGGTCCAAATTTCTATGTGCTTGATCAATAGCAGCCTTAGGTGCGTCGATGTCCGACTCCAAAGCGCCACGCATTTTATCTGCAAGAGATAAAAAAATCATTAAAGACAACATTTTACATCGATGGATCACAATTTATAAACTGCAAATATGTAACTAAAATGGAGAAAAATTAATTTGAAATGCGAGTTTCAGCAAGTATTGAACCACAATGAACTTTGAAAGATTATCTTCTAAAAAATAAGCACAATAATTGGTCTGTAATAATTTTTGTCATGGATTTATGACTGCTAATAAATTTTACTTCACAATGATCGAAGACATGCATTTAATAAACAATTAAAAAGACATGCTTACTCAAATTTTCAATGGCCTCATTTGCAGCTGCTTCCGCGGCCTGAAATAAAATAAAATATGAACATTATGTTAACATTTTATAAAATGTTAATATTAAATATAAGACAAGTAACTCACTTCTATGCATTTAGCTTTTTGTTCACTTCTTTGACGCAGAACACCCCATGTTTGTGGATTATGCATCTCAATAGAACTCTCGATAATCTAAATAAGAAACAAATGAGAATAAATATACACTGGTATGTATGAAAAAGTTATAGCCACTGCTAAAAACAACTTTAATTGTTAAAGTAAAAAAAGAAATTTAGCAGTTAAACTATATTTAGCTAGTTGACCAATTTCATCAAACATTCATAAAGAATATTTTTTACATTTTGAAACAATTATTCCTATGACCATAAATATTTATTTTTATGCTACTTACGACGTCTACTTGATCCATATAATCCTTCAGAGTGCAAGTAGCTTTTGCATAAGCTGGCACAGCCACTTCGGAAGCATTTTTGATTGCATCTTCCAGTTGAGCAATGGTCTTTTTAGTTGGTCCATCAGTCCTGCCACTTGGTGCTTTGCCGTCTGTATGTTGTATTATATTGTCAACTGAAAATATTATGTATTTGTTCACATACCTAATATTGAAATGGATTGCTCCCTTTCAAGAAATATATATTTATAAAATTATATTAAATTAATAATTAAATAATAAATAGGTATTAGGTATTTTAAAAGGGCAAAACCTTAAGTATACTATGTCAAGTTAATTCTATCATAAATAAAATTATTTCCAGTTAGTAGAATTTACAAAATAACAACATGTTAATAGTTCCATCAAGTATTTCAATTTTTAACTCTCAATTAAATTTTAGCTATTGTCTTTTCAATGCAATACACATTTTTAAGTTTTAGTACACAAATTGATAAGAAATATTTTTAATTTTAGATAAAATGATTAAGCACTAAAAACACATGCACTTTCTAATATAAAACAACCTAATTACCTTTCTTCTCTAGAAATGCATGAAAATATTTAAAATTTGAGTTTTTTTTAAAAAAGATTAAAGATAATTTATATACTAGAAATATATCAACTTACATCAAGAAAAAATAATTTTACAAGATATTGTAAACAATAATTATCATTAATGATACTTATAGGTATACAAAGATAAAAACATGTTTTTATGCAAATGAAGTTTTATGCACTGACAACTGATAAAATAATACTTGATTTAAGAATATTTTAGTTTATATACCTAAATGAACGTTGTCCCCTTCAATATTTCTAATTTCAGTAAATTTTTCAGGAGGGGTGGGTTTCTCCAGCAAAGGCTTGAAAGCTGGACGAGGTGCTATTTATGACAAAATTTATTTAAAAACACACAAAATTCAAGTGCAAATTTGTTATTAACACTTTATCGACCGCTGGTTTATTAATCAGCTTATTTATTGCAAAAACTAGCATATGAAACGACTACTAGACCAGATTTATTGTTAGTGAAAAGATGATTCAACCACAAGCAATCGATAAAGTTTTAGATAGAAAAATTACTTTTAGTATTGTTAGAATGTTAATCAAATTTCTACATGAAATAATATCACATGAAAATGCATACTATACAACAATACATATCTATATGCCTTTGAAAGAAAAATATTTTAAATTTCAAGTAAGTTTTTAATGAAGCTTAAACGATATACGAAATTTATATAACATATAAAAATATAATAGTATAAAACGGAAGTTTATTTGTAGATATTAATATTCTGCATAAAAAGTTAATTTGGTTGAAAATGAATATTTTTATTTAGATATAAATTGAAAATTGTAAATTTTGTATTTCAATATAAATGTGTAAAAAATTTGCAAGTTTCTACATTTAAAAATAAATAAATAATTAAATATTTAATATTAACTAAAATAATTGAATAATATAGAATTCTAACCTCTGTACTCATCTGCATTAGGATCAACAATATCACATCGATCTTTCTCCAACCGTTTTTCTTCATCAGATTTTTTTGAAGAAAATAATTCCAGCATAAAATCTTTAGAACTACCTAAGGCATTGAGTACACTGTCCTGATATGTATAATCCTCTTGGTACATGAACCGGATTATACTGTCTGTAACTGGCACATTTCTTGCAAGCCATTCTCGGAATTCAGGATCCCTCCTGAAAATAAAAAAATATGCAAATAGAAAGAAGTTATAATAATGAGATTTTTAAATTTATGCTTACTTGGCATAAACAAGTGTCAATCCTCCAACCAAGGTAATTGCACCAAAAGTGACCAGTAAACCGCCTGCTGGATTTGGTTTTTTTGGTTTCGGTGGGTAAGCTGTATGTGTGAATTTATATTGCTGATATTGTTGTTGATTGCATAGATATAGTCGCACAAGTACTGCACGATTTACCTAAAACAAATAATAATAAATTTATTGATTTTTCAGATTTCTTGTTATAACAAACAATAATTAAATATTAAATATTATAGAAGATTGTGTAAAATAAATGTACAAACATGATACTGAAAAATTAATGTCATGTGCAGACTATGACATCATTTTTATAAATATATTACAATGCTATATTGAAACGAATTTGCTATATGAATAAAGAGAATACTATTAAATTATGTTATTAATATATTTTAATAAAAAAAAATTAAAAATAATAAAAAAAAGCATGTAAAGCAACACTTTAAGACTAACTATAATTTTTTTATAATTAATTAACTTGATGCTTTTGACTTTAGAACTTTAAACAAGTCAATCAAATTCAGTAAGTGAATTTTTAAAATTTTGTGAACGATTTTGACAAGTGGAAATATTTAAAGATATGACATAACAAGTCTGACATTTCTCAAATGTTGAAAATGCATTTTAGAAATTATGCAACTGTAATTTGGGCATAATTTAACTCACCCGAGCTAATCCATTTTTTTGTGCCAGATATCTGATCATGATGGAAACACGCACCGGGCGAGTATTTATTTTTTGGCAGCTTCGTTTAAATTTGCTGCTTTTTCGAACTCACCACACAAAAAAGATAACCTAAATGACAATCGAACGGACGATTGTCAAGATTAACCGAAAGATGGCGGAAGAGAGGCGCGCATGCGCTCTGGGTCGGGCATTTTACGAAAGATTACTATTTTACAATATTTTGCGAATGACAACTTTTAAAAATTTAGATAAATTGCGAAAACAAACGAATGGTTTAACTGAGTTTTTTTTGTTTTTCGATTTTTGAATTCAGTATCTTTGAATTTATGTCATAGCATTATGTTTTTTCATCGCGCGGAAATTTTCGATTCACATTTATTTTATTATCCAAGTTTAAATATAACTGTTTATTGATATTATTTAATACCGTATAAACACAAGTACTGTATTTAATAACATTAGGTATAGAAGCATATTTATAATACAAAATATCAGAGTTCAAAAGCCTTTTGCTCTATTATGACAGTTATTTCCGGTTCCGTTAGCGCGGAATATGAACTAGCATTTTAAAATGTATTTAGCAGTTTTCAATAACAAATTTAAACGTGAAAATAATATTGATCATAGTTTCTGATATATTACTATTTATTGAAGCGATTTGCTAAAAAGGTACTGAAGCACTGACGCAACTGAGAAAATAATTTTAAAACTGATATAACTTATACCTTACAAATACCTTCAAAATGGCATTTATATTATTTAAATGTAATCATTTTACCAGTTTTGCCTTTAAATTATAGTTTAGAATATTTAAAATATTTTAAAAAGCGAGACATCTCTCAACGTAAATCTAAACTGTAATTATTTATTTAACCTCAAGATGGCAGGAATTAGGACTTGCCGTCATGTATTAAATTTACAAAAAAATTAATGAATATTAGTTTGAATATTTTAAATATTCAAATATATTTAATTAATAAAAATTGTCCTAATTTTCAACATAACGGAAATAAATAAATGACTTATCTTTAACACGTTATATAAATTTCGCTATGTTTAAATTAGTGTCAAAGGTGAGTTAATTTCTTTAAATAAACATTTTTGAAACATTTATTTTATTTTTAGAAATTATTTAAATTAATTAATATTAGGATATAGTTTAGAAAATATCATGCGATTTAAATAGTCAAAAAATATATGAAATTATTGCAAGTGTATTTGTAGGTTATATTATATTACATATACATTTTTCTACTTATATATAAATTAGAACAAAATCGAAATAGTATTCTTATTTATAGTGTTAACAGTATTTTAAATTGCTTTTTTATTATACAATGTTCTGGTTAAAATTTTATATATTAGATAATTATTAAGTAAATTTATATACTGATTTATTTTGATTCCTAAAAAAGTTAGCATTTATGATACTCATAAATGTACTACGGCTCCACTTATACAATGTAATTTTTCTTGTATGTTATCAAATTTTATCTTTTCAGCCGCAAGCTATTTATACAAACAGGCATCAATATGTGAGATGCAACGAACCATTTTGTTTGCAAAGAATTTTAACATTTCACAACAATGTCAAGCTTTCAGTGTTTTTCAAAATAGTCAAATAAAGAATTATACAAAACCTTTTGAACCCCAGAAGCCTCTTATAACGAATTTAAATCCCATACTTAATACGCAAGTAATTTTTGGAACTCAACAAACTCGTGATTTAACCAAATTTTCTTTGAGAAGAGGAAAGAGGAAAAGTGTGAAAGCTGTAACCAGAAGATTTTTCAGACTGAATTGGGGCGGTTGGATAAGAACAAGAATAGGTAGACATAAACGTCTATGGAAAAAGTCACCAGCACTTAGAAAGCGATTGAAGGAACATGTTTTTGTTACTGGAACTCAAAGTTGGTTATTAGATTCTATGGTTACGAAGTATTGGAGAAAGCCAAAATATTATGTGGATGATCCTTATGAGCCATATCATAAAAGAGAAGTTTATTGCAAAACTAGGATGAAGCCATTTAGACCTTGAAATTTATATTAATACTGTTAGTGTTAAATTTTGTGGATGAAACAACCAATAAATATTTAGATACCATCTGATAGTTATTTTTAATTATATCTTAAATTCTTTGATTTGTTGAATTCATAGATAGCAGTTTATTTCTCTACAACTGACGAACAAAATGAACTAGTGATAAATTTAACCTTATTATTTTATAACATCACTTTTAAATACCAGTAAAATATAAACTTACTTAAGCAAAAGCACCAAAATGTTGAAAGAATCTTATAAGATTTAATTTTCAATATGAATCTTATTGGTATGTTATTCAGAGTTAATTCTTCATTGGTATAAAACCTAATTTTGAATAAAAAAAGAATTCATCTGCATTTACAATATATTATACAAAATTAACAATCAAAATATTATAAAAATATGTCCATCATATACAAGAACTTATATTTCATTGCTCTCCAATACCTTTTCAATGTTTTTGTTTCATGGGCAAACAATGTGATTGGTCATTTTTCCAAGTCCTTCGATTTCTGATTCAATCACATCTCCTGGTTTTAACCATTGCGGTGGTGTGCGAGCCATACCAACACCTCCTGGTGTTCCAGTCAGAATAATATCACCAGGGAATAATGTGAAACATCTAAAATTGGAATAGTAAACAAACATTTTAACACTATTATATCTAATAAGATTCTTACTGTGATAGTCTAGAAATGCACTCATCGATCTTAAAGATAAGATCTTTTGTATTGCCATCTTGCTTCAATTCTCCGTTCACCCAACATTTTAGTTTCAAATTATTGGGATCCTTCACTGCACTTTTATGTATTATTGATGGTCCAAGTGGGCAGAATGTATCCATAGATTTTCCTAATAAAAATTGTCTGCCATTAAATCTTTTTTGCCAATCTCGTGCACTGATATCCTGTGAGACACAGTAACCAAATACATGGTCAAAAGCTTCTTCTTTCCTGATACATTTTGCAGTTTTTCCAATCACCACACACAATTCAACTTCCCAATCCAATTCCTATATGAGAGAGATAATAGATTTATTATATTGATTGAAATCAATTTGTGCCATTTGGTGCTAAATAATACCTTGGTTATTGGAGGATATTCAATATTATCTTCATAACCAACAATTGTGCTTGAGAATTTACTGAAGAACATTGGATTGTCTGGGGGTTCAATTCCTTGCTCATCACAATGGCTTTTGTAATTTAAGCCAATACAAATCACTTTATCTGGCTTTGTAATTGGAGGAAGAAGTGTCACATCCTTTTCGCAAACTCCTGGTTCTTTCAGTCTACTAATATAGAAAATACATTATAGTTCTAAAATGTCTTACTCTAAAATTAGAGTAATAAAAAAGTTCTTTATTTTGGTTTGATTCAGGTATCTACAAAATTTGTAGCTGAAAGTGTTATAGCAATTGGATTAATCTCCATCGTATTAAAAGTATGATTATATCCTGACACTAAATCTATTTAGTATCATCTCTACCAATGGTAGTAGCAACTATAAAATGTTGTTAATATTCTTGGAGATGTTAAGGAATGGTTTTTTGAGGAGCAACTTATTATTAACTATAAGTACCAATTTAAATAGTCTAAATTCTCCAATTCTCCTGAGCCCAATAAACTGAGCATGGAAGCTGGTTTGCCTCTCAAAAGTAACTCAACAATTGTTCCATCATTCTTTTTTAACCCAGTTCGTACTTGGCAGTTGTCATTTTTTTGAAATTGAACAAAATTCATTGTTTTTGCAGTAGTCGTAGACAAATTCCTTACATTAAATTTGGACTGAACTTCACAATAACCTCGAAAAGAAGGTTGTTTCAAAAAATTGAACTTTGACACCAACAGCCTTTGATAACAAATATTCATGGTCGACTTTTAACTAGATTTTATGATACTAAAATGCTATTATAATAATAAGTTGATATATTATATATTCATATGCAAATAATATTCTTAAATGTTAAACATGAAATAGAAAACAACATGATAAATGACGTTTAAGTCTAGTTATGTAAACAATATGAAATTAGAATTACAATCCGATATCCTTTAGATTATATGTATATAATATTTGTAATAACTTATTTGGATTTATTTATTTTAAGAAATAGAATATATTTTTATTACAGAGATTATTACAGAAAAATTACTACAAAAAATAACAAGAAATAAATTTTACGCCTGAAGTGTTCGCAATGTGCAACAGGCTTGTAACCACAAATATTTTAAAAATATATATCATGGGGGGCAAAAAACAACTAAAAATTGATATTTATATAGCAATTATCTATAAAATTGCATTATTGTACTATTGTAATTATAGAGTATTAAAATTCTAGTTTTTAATTTGATATACCCATTTTCTTAAACTTTGATGATTTTTTAAAATCAAACTACTTGTCCGTAATATTTCAGTAAGTTCTATAAGACCATTTTTCCAAATTTGGTCTCATTCGATTAAGAACGGCTTGAAACGTCGGGAAAACATAAAATTAGATAATTGGATTTTTTTATGAAAACAAACTTCTTCTTCCGGAAGTTAATAAAGAAAATGGAGAGCCAAAGAGCAAACGTCTTAAAAAATAAAAATTTATAAATTATTTTTGTATTATTATTTTTATATTTAATATTTATTATAACATATATGTATCATAACTTAATAAATAATGTACATAGATAAAAACAGCTATATTTTTACATAATATGTTATAACTAGGTGTATCAAGCTGAAATCTAATAAAAACAAAATAAATCACAGGATTCTATTAAAACTTAAAAATATCTGAATTATGACTAACTCTTATAAATTTTACATGCATTTTTCATAGAAAAGCATGTAAGCAACAGATTGTAAAACTTCATTTAATGAAACTTCTCTCACTGCTGCATCTGATGTAAAATACCATTTATGCATGTTACGCATGGATCCTCTTCTGTAAGTTATAAAATGTCCTGTCTCAGTATCACCCACATGCACCACAACAGAAACAAGCCGATAAGCAGGAGTGTGCAAATCTCCTGAATCGCGAGGTAAAGACATACTTCCAGAGTTGCAGTTTTGAGTTGCAAAGCCGGACTGTAAATATGTAAATTGCGACATGTTCAAGTTTTCTGGAAATGATACATATTCCATTCTCTTGTATGTATTGCCTCCCTCTCTCCACATTGTTCTTGGAATGTGTATGCATAGAATTTGTGGTAGTTTTCCAAAATATATAGTTTTGATGCAACTGGTAAGTTTAGCTCTCACCTGGGAATCCTCTGAAGATGAAGAAGTTGAAATGGAATCTGCATCTTGCTCAATGCTAGACACATTTATGGGCTCACGCTTATTACATTTTTCACACAAAAAGTCTTTCACAATCTCAGGTGACACAAAACGATATAAAAGCTGAAGCAAAGAACATCCAGCTAAGTCAGATAATAAATGCAGGGAAATGCTATCAAATTTATCATAGCGAATTGGAGTCTTAAATCCGCATTCTTTACATTTGAACTGTGTTGCCAGTGTACCATGGAATGGAATACTATAATTAGGTTCTTTTGGTACTTCATCAAATAATGCCATCCGAACACAGCTTCCAACACGTTCTAAAGAACGGCAAGATATTGAAGACCTTTTACTTAGTGAAGATCTCTCAGATATATAACGTGGGCGACTTTTTCTTGTTGATGAAGCGGATGCAGCTACTTCATACAAATTGATTTGAGAATCAAAATCAATTTCTCCATCTGGAGAATGGGGAGAATTTGGTGTATGAACTTCAGATCTTGTATAATTTGATAGAGGCGGATATGGTGGACTTTGGGGTGCTGTGTCCGGGGTTTCTGGCCACGGGCCAACATCACGATCAGCATAAGATACCATCATTGCACTTGATGGTCTTGTAGGTAAAAGACTGTAATCACTTAATCCCAAAGCATCAGATAAACATCCAATTTTACGTACCGGTTTATTAATTTCTTCTTCCAAACTGCTCAAGATGACATGCAGCAACTCATGAGCATCTTGCTCGTCTGGTGGTATTACCCATCCAAGAGCAAATAATGACTGCAAGATATCGCCTGGCGTATAAGGGTCTGATCTTATTGTAACATGAGTACCGTTGACGACTTCTATGACGGTATTCAAAGTTGTTATCAGACTTTTCGAATCTCTTCCACTGAATTTTTGTAACCATAGTTTGAATTGTGTGCATGCTGCTAAGGCTTGTAAGACTGCATTTAAAAAGCAGGTTCGACCTAAGTTATGAAGACCGCCAACTTGTCCTCTTCTTTTACGTAATCTCGTACCTCCGGAGGGTCCCCAAAGGACATAAGCACCAACTACAACAGCTGCAGTCACGCCAGCTGCCATTAAAAATCTTTCGCCCTCCATTGCTTATTAACTAATAATTAACGAAAGAGATCTTCTACATTATGCTATTTAAACGTTGTTTAATAATTTAGTTTCATTCAATTTATTTGCTCTTATATCATCTGTCAAAGCGATCGATAACAATTATAGGTTAAATGTCAAAAACAATTCATGTTGGTACAACTGTAAGCAGTTTCTGTTTAAATTCAAAAATGAATGTTATGAAATAAAAAGCGTGCGCGTAAGGTTCACATGCGATTGAAGTAAAACTTTTTTGCTATTGTACGAGATGGCAATCATTTCAATTTTGAATGCACACATTTATTAATGTCGACCATTATACATATTTATATAATAATAAATTATAAATTATATATTTATAATAGCATTAAAAATATTTATAATATTTGAGCGATTAGGACTTGGACCTTCATTAGATAAATTTAGATCGTTGTACACGTGCTTAGTGGATGAATTTAAACACAAGCAAATAATTTCACAACAATTTATTTATTCTTCCTTTATACATTTCATTTGTTTTATTTATTTGCAATATTTTGTATTATTTTGAAACTAAATAACGAAACTTGTATTTTTATTTATATTCGCACTTGGCGAAAAAATCATAATAGAAAATTACATTATAACTTCGTGTGTTTTGCTTCTAATTTATCACAAAAATTCTTGTGATAATAAATATTTGTTTCGATTAACGCGAGCTGTCAAAAGTGTCATTATTCTGTGTTAAACAATCTACAAGAATTTCAAATTATTTCTTTAATGAAATAAATCTTGAATTTTAAAAAAGTTCTTTTTCTTTCTCATCGAGGTAAATCAGTAAAGCGTACCAATAATTGAAAAAGACTTACCAAACTTTCTACTAAAATGATCCAAGTAAACAAATTGGATCATTAAAAGTTAATTTGTTAAAATGAGTAAAAGTAAAAGTAAAGGAAATTCATAATGGCATATACAAATTTCATAAAATACCTAAAATTTTTGTAAGAAAATTATATCGCCGATTTGCCCAATGAGCAGAGAAAGACTTAAATATTAAAACTGTCCACAATTCACATAAATATCAGTATGTTAATCAAACAGATTTAAACACTATATATGTCATTACAGCATTTTATTATTATTCACTTATTTTATTAATTGGTCAATTCTCAAATGTTTCATCAGGTTTTTTGTAACTTTATTTTCATTTCAATTTGTTTTAATCAATTTTGAATTGATAGCCATTTGCAATAATTTCGAATAGATTATATCTAATAAAAAATAATAAAATCAATACTACATTTGTAATAGTACTATACCTACATTTTGTGGGTTAAATGATTAAATTTTATGAAAAACTTTAGTTGCAAGGACAGAAAATGTGAAATTATTTTACATTTTTCAAATAAAAATCGATGTTCTTCTCATTTCCTAATTTTAATTTAAAGAATCGATGTTCAAGTGAATATTTACAAATAGTTATGTAGTAAATTAAAAATCATATTTTTTACATATCATAAAAGGGCTTTACAGCTCAACTTGCAAAATATGTTCTTTCCATAAAATTTGCATCAAGAAAATATAAATTTAAAGAAAAGTCTCCGAGACAATAGGCCGAAAAATAAAAATATATATTGAGAAATATTTAAACTTTGTAACGTATGGAATTCTATAATGTTTTTAATTTTACAATAATAAATAAAATAACTATATTTCTTGTAATTCAAGATAAAATGAATAATTTTGTGCAATTTATCACATAATTGTAAGACTTTGCTTTAAATTTATGTTTACGAGAAGTCATCTCTATTAAATGAAAAAAATATTGTAAAGTACACATTTACTTAAAAATTAAAACCAATAATAAATTGCTTTTGAAAAATAAATTTTTCTAATCATTCTTTTACCGTGAATGATATGCGATTCATTCTATTAAAAAAATTAAACAAAAACTATCTCTTTATGGGTATATCAGTAAATGTTAATAATTAATTATGGAAACGCTTTTATAAATATTTAGAGATACATATCGGCATATTAATGTCTACTATGATTCATAAAAAGCTTTATTAAAAAACAACAAAGTAAATTTTAAAATTTAAAACTGCTCGAACTTATAATTTTTTGTTGTTTATTAATAAGCTTTTTATGATATTTCATATAATAGCATATATTCTACACATATAGATATAAATCCTAAAAATATGCAGTCATTTTTATATGAAGAATTTGAGATTGTTATTTAGTATCCTATGAATTAAAATTTTAAATTTTATTGAAATCATACCTATTTAAATTAGATAAGAAATAAAGCAAAATGCAGTTTTTCGTGTAAAGATTTTAGTGCAAATGCAATTTATACTGCATTTAGCATTAATTTTATACTTATATATTTAGCTTTATCTTGATATAATAATCATATATTCAGGTTATTAAATTTTTGGGTATTTATTGAATATTTTGGAGATAATTGGAGAGTACTTTAGGTAGAAAATATACATGAATAATAATTTAAATAATGTTTAAAATAGGTAAT